TCCTTCCTTCCTTCCTTCCTTCCTTCCTTCCTTCCTTCCTTCCTTCCTGTATTCTTCCTCTTCCTTCAAACCAAGTTCATTTACCTGCTATAACTATAACTAGAATTTAAAGTCCTGGTTTTCCTTCTTTATACTCTTCTAAAAGCATGATTATAAGAATATATATACAAAATTTTGTAAGCTTCCCTGCCAGGTTACAATGACTGAACTAAAAAAAATAAATTTAAATAGCCTTTGATTATATTTAATTTAATTTTAAAATTAATGATTAGATAATTAGTGTGCTAAATTTTAAAAATGTGATTTATTTTACTGTTTACAGCATGGCAGAATAACATCAAATAAAAGGAAAAGCAGTGAGCCAAAAACAGGACACAAAAAAGAACTGTCTGAAAGGTATTGAGTTAATATGCTTCATTGCTACTCAAATTGAACGTAGAAATCTTTGAGCTTGATTGTATATTTATTTTAGTTTCACAGTTCCTCTGAGATTGATATTATCATCATCGCCATTCTCATTTTAGAGAAAGAGATCTAAGATTAAAAAGATTAATTTGTCCAAAGTCATATGAACTTTTATTAAAAAGAGTAAAAGTGAGGCTTGAGAGATAGTTCAGTGGTTAAGAGCACTTGTTGCTCTTCCAGAGTATCTGGGCTTAATTCCAGCACCCACCCACATGGTGGCTCACGACCATCAGTTACTCTGGTTCCAGGGGATCCAGCACTCTCTTCTGACCTCTGAGAGCACCAGACACGCATTTGGTGCACATACAGGCAAGACACTCATGCACATAAAACAAAAACAAATAAATAAATACTTAACAAAATAGGGTGATGAACTATTGATGACATCATGTAGCATAAACTTCTGGCCTCCCACATACATGGTCATATATGTGTGCACTCACACCAGTACTTGCACACATATGCCTGCACACATTACAAGAGGTATACTCTTGGCACTATAGGGGTTATGATGAGTGCCAGACTAATCTGGGCTACGGGTGCATAGGAAGACTACGTTTTTAAAAAAGACCAATTATGTGAATATACCCTAGGTTTCTGCCTTTTTTCTTTGTGTATTTTTCAAGACGTATTTCACTGTTTTTGTGTAGCCTTGGCTGCCCTGGTCACTCTGTAGACCAGGCTGGCCTTGTACTCACAGAGATCCGCCTGTCTCTGTTTTCCAAGTGCTGGAATTAAAGATGTGCATCACTACTGCCCAATTTGCCTTTTATTTTTCTATTTTCCTTTTTTAGTGAGAATTTTATAATGCATATAATGAATTTTGATCACATACATCCCTACACCCTCTCCTTAACTCCTTAACTCGCCTATCTCCCTCAATTTCATGTATTGTAATTGTGGCTGTTCTGGAACTCACTCTTTAGACCAGGTTGTCTTCAAACTCACAGAGATCTATCTGCCTCTGTCTCCTGAGTGCTGAGATTAAAGATGTACACCACCATACCTGGTGCTTCTCTCTTGCTTTAAAAACCCACTGGATTTACTTAGTGCTGCCTCTATGTGCATGGGTACTGGACCATTTAATGGAGCATGGGCAGCCTTCCTGGGGCTGCATCCCAGAAGAAAACTGATTCTCCCTCTTGTAGCCAACAACTTCTCAGCTAGGGTTGGGGCTTCATGAGCTCCTTCCTGTTTTTGTGTAGCCTTGGCTGCCCTTGTCACAAAATTCCATGCTGGAATTTTGGCTGACTTGATCTTGTATAATCCTATGCATGTTGTCATAGCCACTGTGAGTTCATGTGTTCAGCAACCCTATCATGTTATGCTGGAGAACTCGACCACATCTGTAGAGTCTTTTTTGTGGAACCACCAGATGGTGGAATATGAACATAAATAGAATATACCCTGAAGTACATGTATGAAGCATTGCTTACTAAGTGATAGCAATCAGTACTAAATGGTATGCTATTTAACATTTGATAATACTTGTGAGACAAGCAGTTGACAATGCTTCACTTGACTCTCACAACTCAGATGCGCAGTCAGTCCATCCATTTTATAGCTGAGGAGACAGATCTGAACAGCTAAGTATTTTTTCAGGTTTATTCAGAAAGAACGGCTGAATTTGAAATCATGTGAAGTCTAAACTTTTAACCAGTATGCCATTTTTCTTTCTCCAAATATTCCTCACATTTTAAAGTCATGTACATTTTAACTTTTTGTTGTTATTTTATTTTAAAATAAATGTAATAGGCTGGGGATGCAACTCAGTTGTTAGAGTAGTTATCTAGTGTACATGGATGTGCCTGCTCTGGGTGTGATCCCTAGCACTGCATAAGCCCGATGTACTGACGTGTGCCTGTAGTCACAGCACCCTGAAGGTGAGGACAGGATTAGAGGTTCAAGGTTATCCTCAGCTACATAGCTAGTTTGAGGCTAACCTGGGCTTTATGAGACCCTATTTCAAAAATGCCAAAATTAAAAAAAAAAGTATAAATCCATTTAATTTGTGAAAATAAGACATATAAGAAATAAAGGAAGTTTAAGTCAGAAATAATTCTACCACTCAGTAGTATCTGTCTCTTTTCTTTTACAATAAGACACAATTTGTAAAGAACTGAGGTCATCTTGACGTCCTTTGACTTTGCATGTTTCTATCAACACTTTCCCCTAAGATTGAAAACCTTTTTTGATGTTATAATTTAGTGTTAGGATTAAACTGTTAGAAACCAAAGTCATAAACCCAGGAAAGGAGTAGACTGGAAATTGCCCTGCACCAGTGAGCTTTATTAGGAGGGAGAGCCTCACAATTATGATGGGGCATGATCGGCTTGAGATAGTAAAGCATTATGAGAGACAGTATATCACACCAGAGGCAGCATGGTGGCGACCTGAGGTGGGAGAGCATTTATCAGAGATTACATAACAGAATCTTAAACCTGGGAGGAGCTTCAAGTAAGAGGTGGATATTCCTGACCACATGGGACAGGTTGGGATGAGCAAAAGACTGAGAGAGAAAAAGTCAGAAATCTTTTACTTGAAGGGGTAGGTATCCTGTTCAGAGCTCAGAGCCAGTTTCTTTACATGTAGGCTTTAGAGTTGTTTGCTGCATGGCTCCATCTTATTTGATACAACAAAGTGGACCAGACAAGTCATGCTGGGCTGTCTTAGTTAGGGTTTTCATTACTGTTAAGAGATACCATGGTCATGGCAACTCTTAGAACGAAAACATCTAATTGAGGGAGCTTGCTTATAGTTTCAGAGGTTCAGTCCGTTATCATTATGGTAGGGAGCATGGTGGTGTGCAGGCAGACATGGTGTTGGCTGCATCTTGACTTTCAGACAATAGGAAGTCAACTGGGCGGTATCCTGCACATAGGAAATCTCAAAGCCTGTCCCCACAGTGGCACAATTCCTCCAACAAGGCCATACCCACTCCAACAAAGCAACACTTTCTAATAGTGCCTCTCCCTATGAGCTTATGGGTGCCTATTACATTCAGTTCTGACACACGCCTCTAATCCCAGCACTTGGGAGGCAGAGACAGGCAGATCTCTGTGAGTTCAACATCAGCCTGGCCTACAGAGTGAGTTCCAGGACAGCCAGGACTATGCAGATAGGCTTGTGTTATAATACAGAGTTTATCAATTCTTTGCCTCAGAGGACAGACTATAGAGGAGGCATGGGCTGATTTCTTCTAAGCTGCCATCTAGTCTTAAATAGGCAGGCCCATGATCTGAGGTAAATCTTATTTATTTAAGTTAAATAAAAATCTTAAAAATCTCATTGTATTTTATGGTCTCCCTAACCTTGTTTCTTTTTGTTATGCTGAAGTATGGATAATTTAAATACTGAATAACAAAAGACTGTGACTATTTATAGAGTCTACTGTGCTTTTCTTTTGGCATATGTAAGATTTCGCATGTGCATACATATATGATTGATTATGGTGTATACAATAAATTACTTTACATTTTTGACAGTGCTAGGGATTGAACCCAGTCTCATGCATGCTAGGAAACAGCCCTACCACTGAGATATAATCCCAGCCCTTTGTTATATAATTACAAATTATTACTGTGCTTTGGGGGCTATTGAGATGACCAAGGCCTCTATTCAAAAATTGTTTGATTTGTGAAGTAACTAAGAAAACCAAAGGTAGGTATATGGGCCCTGGTCTTTCTTAGTATAACAAAAGAAAGCTTAAAATTAACATTTTCACCAAGTAAAAGTAAAACCTGATTAAAGAAGTGTTAAATTACTATATACATTGTCTGGAATGAATCTTCATTTGTAATATAAATTAAAAAATCAAACATAAATGTGACTTTCTGTATGTTCCATTTTTTATAGTGCAGAGAGTCATTTTATAAGCACTCCAGTTGTAGAAAAGCAGATATACTTCCCTCTTCAGAGTTATCCGGTGAACAACATGGTAACAGGTAACCTATGGTGAAAATTAGAGCAACCCAGCTAGGGAAGAAACAAGGGAGAACACAGCTGTTACCAAGCAGAGCCTTTCCTTTTACCGTGGTGATAGGAGGGTGCCGTTCATCTTCTAAAACATTAACTTGCAGAATGGACCAAGCATGGGCTTCATATTTTCTGTGCCAAGACAGGTCCCTAGACAGGAGGGATGCTTGCTCTTGCTTGCATGAGACAGTTGCAGTTTATTTCTGACATTCAGGGATCAGCTCTTTTGTTTTTGTTTTTGTAGTGCTGGAGGTTGAACTCAGGGCCTCTCACACGACTAGGATCAGGCTTTACTGTGGAGCCGGAGACAGCCGAGCTTTTTCTGTGGACTAACTTGTCACATAGCATGAAATCTCCTCTTTCCTCTGAGACCTATAAGAAGCAGCCTCCATTCTGCCTTGGAGGATTGAGCTCTGCTCAAAGGCCCCACCATTCTACTGTCTGTCTGTATGTTTATGGTGTTAATAATTCTTCTAATGAACGGTTTCACATTGAGGCTGGTTCGAGAGATATGCTGAAATGGATTACTGGAGACTGGAATTTATCAGAAAAGTTACTGTCACGTACAGACAGCAACATGGTGAGGGCTCTGGGAGCAGTTCAGGCCCCAGCAGCAGACACAAACTACTTGGCAGAAATAGAGGGATCAGAACCTACATCGCAGAAGTGGGGTTTCTTTTTATACTTTCTAAGGATGGGGGAGTTTCCGTAGACACCTGCAGCTAGCTGTTCTCTGCTTTCCAGACATGAGACAGGGAAATGGGTCGTCAGCTCACCTTCCCGGGTGAGAGAGCCTCGCACCAGGAAGTCTGTCATCTGCTATCTGGAAGTAGGTGGCTCCTGCAAAGTATTGTGGCCCAACTATCAGCTGGATTTTTAACATTTTATTGTTGCATTTAATGAATCTCTTATCCTAAAGGATAGTGTACCTCAGTGTACCGCCTGCCTTGAAGCCCAAATGTGAAACTCTTCATTAAGCCCACATTACACCATTGAGTCTCTTCAGTTGGCCTATTGAGGGCAGTGACACAGCCTGGCCTGTTAGGGCTGCCAGAGTCCGGGTTCTGAACCTAACAACTCTAGTAACATTGTTGCTGTTTGACTCTCCCTCCAGAAAATGGGCAGTGACTGTTAAGTTTCTGAAAATAGAGTTAATTGAGGTCTTTAGTCATAGAAAACACAAGTTGGAACTTTGTGTTAGAACAGGGCTTCTCAGTTTGGGCACTGCTGGCACTGCATCCGCCTTGAGCACGGTTGTAAGATGTCTGCCACTAGATGCCCACCATACAACTTCTTCCCCACAACTGTTACACCCAAAAATATCCCAGACTTTGCCAAGTGACTACCAAAATACTGTTTTTTAAAATTGGTTTTTTATTATCTCCTCAGTTTGATAACAACTTAAATACCTTATTGGCAAACAATTCAAAGCCAAGGGAGTCTAATAATTAAATTGAGAACTCAAAATCTTTTCTGTTTACATATCTATTGGTATGTAGCAAAACATTTCAGAAATTAACAGTTTAAAACAATGGCCGTGTATCTGGCATGGGTGATAGTTTTTAAAAATACAAGCATTTGAGGGCTGAGCAAGAAAAGTACTAGAAATCTGTAGCTAGGCTACGTAGTGAGTTACAGATCCTTTTGACTAAGGAGTTGAGACTCTATCTTCAAAAACAAACAAACCCAGAGCCCTGGGCCTGCAGCTCAGTTAGTACAGTGTTCACACCATGGAAACTGTATATGGTGTTACACTGTAATTCCTGTACTGCAGAGGATAAAAACTCAAGGTTATCCTCAGCTACAACCAGCAAGTTTGAGATCAGGTTGGCATACATTAGAGAAAATAAAAACAAAACCTGAATAGTGGATGTTTGTTATTTATAGTTTCGGGGGGGGCGGAGTCCCAGAGTGTATTAACTGATGACTTATTTCAGAGCTCCATAAATTTTCAGTGAAATTGTCACCAAAGTTGCAGCCATTCTGAGGCACACTGAGAGTGGAAAGTCCACATCAAAGCTTCCTCTTGAGTGGTAGTTACCAGACTTTAGCTCCTTCCTGAGTTTTGGGCAAATACTTTATATTACATGGACTTTTTTATGCATATGGGGTTTTTTTTTTGTCTGCATGTATACCTGTGTACTTGGTATCTCAAGAGATTAGAGGAGGGCATCAGATGCCCTTAAACTGGAACGATACACAGTTGTAAGTCACCTTATGGGTGCTGGGAATCAAACCTGGGTCCTCTACAAGAGCACCCAGTACTCTTAACCACTGCACCATCTCTCCAGCTCCCTGAATGGATGTTTTCATAAAATCTATTCAAAACATCATAGCTTGTTTCAGAATAAAAGGTCCAACAGTAATAAGAGAATGTCCAAGACAAATGTCAGCCCTTATTTTCAGAAGTGACATGCCAACATATAGACCAGCACATGTAGGAAGTTGTAAGCAGACTTTTTCCTACCAGCCAGTTCCCAAATAACCGCACAGAGACTTATTAATTATAAGATGCTTGCCCAATCACTCAGACTTGTTACTAACTAACTCTTACATTTTAAATTAACCCACATTTCTTATCTGTGGTGTGCCACATGGCTCAGTACCTTTTCTCAGTACAGCAAGTTCCTCTGTTTTCTCTGCCTCTCCCCGTGACTCCTGAGATGACTCCTCTTCTCTACACTCTTTCTATCTGCCAGTCCCACCTCACCTCTACCTACTCAGCTATTGGCCAGCCAACTTCTTTATTAGACCAATAACACAGTGGAAAGGAGTATTCCACAGAAAGTAGTCAGGATTTACAAAAGTTTGTGAATACTAAGATATGGGGAATCACTCATTCAAGGCCTTCTTAGAGATTGGTGTCAACATAAAAAACAGCTCTCACCCCACAGAGGATAAAAAATTATTTATTTGTAGCTGCATATGAGTGACCATGATTCAGGAACAAAGATTCAGATTTCCCCAAATTCCATGCTCTAGCATGGTAACCATTTCATTAAGTTTTTATTTTCTATTTAAAATTTACCTATTACTATTGTATATATGCACATGCTGGCCTATGATGTATGTGTATGTGCTCATGTGCCACCGTCTACATGCGGAGACCAGAGAACAACCTTGAGGGGTTGGTCCCAGTAACTGGACCCAAATCATCAGGCTTGGCATCAAGTGACTTTACTCACTGAGTCATCTCCCCTGCCCAGAAACAGGCATTACCTAAAATACAAGCTTGCTTTGTCATAGCCCCAAGAGTTGCTTTGGGACTGAATTCCTAATGTGCAGTGGGCTGACCATAGTATTTTTTTTCTAATTTTTGACATGGTGTAACAGGTTAACTCATTATTCAGGTGACCACACGTGTTCACACACACACACACACACACACACACACACACACACACACACAGGAGAGGAGTATGGTGAGGTAAGGGGTGATTAGTGGGAGTCATACCTAGAGCCTAATGTATGCTAAGCAGGCATTCAACTCATTCAACTAAAAGCTATCCCAAGTGACCATATTTCTACCACTAAAGAAACACAGTTTGCCCCAGAAAAGGAAAATGAAGTTAAAATGTGGAGAAAAACTTGTGATCAATAAGAGAGTGATTGATGATAGTTGATTCTGATGAATGCCAGGTCCCTGCCAGTTGAGATGAGCCGTGTTGAGATGTGATGGGACAGAGCTGGACTGGCCTCTCTGTGTTCTTGGTCTCTTTGTAGTCTTCTTCCTTCTAGGGTATGGGCAGGATCTTCCAGAATGAAGAGTCTTACGATCTACCATCAATTAGATAAGGGTAGGTTAGACAATTTATGATGACAATATAGAAAAACATGTCTCACCTCAAATGAGATGAGATATTTTCTAGAAACTCTTAAGTGACCACAGTCTAGAAACACAGACTCAGGTCACTACAAATCCCATGTCCCTGTGTTAACAGTTTGATGAAATGAATCATAAATGGTTTTTTGAGACAAAGTTTGTCTGTGTAGCTTTGAAGCCTGTCAGATTGACTTCATCAACGTGAATCAGACTTAGGGGAGTCTAATACCTGGCACTTTATTTTAGGCACATTTAAAAACAATAGAATATGAAAAAGAATCTCCAGGCAACAATAATTCCCATAATTCCAATTCCAAGTGCACAATAAAATTAATGTATGATTACATAGCAACTCTTTTACAAAGTACCTGTGACCTTCAGAGTGGGTTCTATAGCTAATGTGGTCTCTGACTGATAGCATAGAGGTCAGCAGTACAAGAAATACATGTGTTAAAAATTTCCACCTCCTCCCATTTCCCTCCCGCTCCCCCACTCCTCCTCACCTTCCCTCTCCAGTCCTAAGAACAGTCAGGGTTCCCTGCCCTGTGGGAAGTTCAAGGTCCTCCCCATTCCATCCAGGTCTAGGAATGTGAACATCCAAACAGACTAGGCTCCCACAAAGCCAGTCCGTGCAGTAGAACTGAAATAATTAAATAAATAAACAAAAAATGAGTATTTTCACATGACATATGCCATTCTGTGTCTAGGGCATATGTTCCAACCCTTGCCTCTGGTTGAAACTAAATATTTGTAGATATGTTTGTGCATATATTAATATAAACATACATGTTTATACATACTCAGATATGTATTAATTATAAATCTTGAATTGATTTACACACAAAAAATGGGAGGTGGTCAGTGAAGAATTTCAGGATATAAGGAATCTGATATAGAGGCAAATACAGAAGGGTGAAAAGAGGAACTATAATAAATAGGATGACTGTAAAAGGAATAAGCATGCATACTATTAATTATTTACCAAAAACCCAAATGAAAAACTATGATGTTATTACACACACACACACACACACACACACTAATTTTCCTCATCTGAGCTGTTGGTGTCCTCTCCAAGAGTCAAAGAGTACTTAATAAGAGCCACAGTACTAAATATCAGAAATCATTTCCTAAGTTGTTCTTCAGGACTCTCCAGGAGACACTTAAACCATAGAGATTATTATTGTTATCATTGATTGTGAGTAAAAGGGAGTGTGTTTTAATAATATGATATCTAAGAGATATTAAAAGGCATAACATGCAAAAAAAAAAGAAATACATGTAACATCTCCCCTAAGGAGGAGGAGGGTAATAGTTTAGGGAAGAAAGAGTCTGGGATAATCATTCTGGGAAATTAGGGTGAGGTCTGTCTCTTCAGATAGCAAAGGGGTCACCAGGTTGTTACCAACTTCCACTTTTAGCTTTCTGGGTGGAATGCAGTTTTATCTCCTCCATTGAGGAGACACCCATATGTGATTAACCGTCCTGCTTCTCTTAGTACTTTTCTGTGAGTACAAGGCCTTGGTGCCTTCTACATATGTGTGCAGTAAGCATTTAGAAACCTCACATAGTGTCTGTGCAATAAGCATTTTCTCCACTGATTACACAAGTGTTTATTCACCAGGCAGAATGGATACGCATGGGATGTCTCAGTGGTGTTCAAAAAGAGCTAAGGAAATAGATACCCAATGACTGGAATAGATTAATGATACTAATTCTCTATGACTGGATTCATAATTTTAAACTATGAATTGACTTTATCACTAAAACCATCAAGCCATATGTATGAACTCTATTGTTTTTTATGATACTTTTAAATTCAGTCATACTTGGGATCTTCTAAAATTTTTAGAATGTTTGCTTTTAGTATTAGTATAAACCACAAACATTTATAGTACATGTAAAATATAATCATTCAAATGATAAACAATTGTTATCAAGTTACCGCTTAAGATTGTTGAATATTAAGATCTTAATATCTCTGCAGTTAGGCAGGGTTTTATTTTGGCATTCATATCTATTTCAGATTATTAATTACATCAACATTACAGCCATATCTTGTATTGATTAACAGCAGAACTGACTTTACTATTAACTTTTCACTAGAGAACTTTATCCCAGTCTTACAGTGCTTGGAAATGTCTGCTCTGTAGAGCAGTTGTGCTGTCTGTGCTGTTGTGTAGCTGGAGAGACCGTTTTCAGTGATTACAATCTAGGCCAGTTATTCCCAGTCATTCTAGTTTCCGTACTTTAATGTTCCAGCCCCAGTACGGACATTGCACTCTCAGTAATCGAAGTTGCTTATCAAGTATCTGTGCTTTTCAGAAGTGGAAGGAAAAGTTAAGTGTGTTGGTTTACCAATAGTGTGAGAATTTAGGTGGTGGAAGCAGAGGATTGCTGAAAGCTCAAGGCCAGCCTCATCTACAAGTGAGTTCCAGTCTAACCTAGGTTAAAGTGTGAACCCCGTCTCCAAAAGACAAACAAACAAAACTAGGACAGTGAGAAGGGGAGATGGTCAGAAGAGAGGAGACAAATATGAGCAAAGAACAGTGTGTTTTAGTGAAAAGGTCATAATAAAACTCATTAGTTTGTAAACTAAGGTGTAAAGGAAAACAGTGTTAAGGGCTGGGGCTATAGCTTAGCTGTAGAGAGCTTGCCTGGCATGTACAGAGCTCTGGTTTTGGTCTCCAGTCCTACATAACGGAGTGCGGTGGATGGGTCTGCAGTCTTAGCCCTGGGTTGGGGGAGCAGGAAGAGCAGATGCTTAAGGTCATCCTTTGAGAATCTTCTCGCCAGCATTATTTTTCTTTTTCTTTAAAAAAAATCTATAAAAATTTTAACTAATAAATCAAAGATACTGAAAATAAAATAGCATGGTAGAATTTCAAATGTATCTATTTCTTCTTATTTTTATAGGTTATATATCAATTGATGCCTTGGAGAAATTCCTTGGAAAATTACATGACTTCGTTCCAGGAAGCTCAGGATATTTGGCATATCATGTTCAAAATGAAATTAACATGTCTGCTATAAAAAACAAATTAAGGAGGAAACTAAGTTAAATTGTACTTACATTTATTTTTTATAAGATATTATGACATGCTTATAATTTAAATGAGAATGGAAAAAGAATTACTTTCTTTCTAAACATGTGTCCTGAGAAAACTGAATCATTTTGGTTCTCCCTTTTGACATATTCACAAATTGAGAGTGCACAATTATTATAGAATTATTGTCATCCAAACATATACTTAGAAGATCTCTGTCAAATGATTTTTTGATTTTGACTTTAGTATTACATCGTATTTTTTCTAGGTTCAGTACTGAAATGCTAACCTTTATGAATCTGGTCGTGTTATTTTGACTAACAAAGTTAGGATGCTATACTTGAACTCTAAATGTTTGTTTCTGAACATAGTGAGTCAGGTGCCTTATGGTCCCCATAGTAGAACATGAGCCTAATACTGTGCCTTATAGGGAAATGAAAACTTGAGAGGGTATCTATCCTGTTGGAGTGACTAAATGAGGCCCAGCTCAAGCTGGGATGTGACTTTCCTGATTTTCTGGCCTCGTATTTATACTGTTTTCTTCTATGATTATGCTGGAACCTCTGTGTTAATATTCTATACCCTTTTTGAGACAAGGTCTCATTGTGTTACCCAGGCTGGCCTCTAATTCTGGGTCTCAGTAATGCTCCTACCTCAGCATTATAAATAAGCTGAAGCTGTAGGTGTGTGCCACTGGACTTGATTTTTCTGCCTTTTAAATGAATCTAGAGATGTGGCAACCTCAAGAAGGCAGTTTTGCTGTACTTGGTGATGCTAACCTGTGGTCTCAGCTGCTTGGATGGCTGGAGCAGGAGGAGAGAAAGCTCAAGCCAGCCTGGGCAACTTAGGAAGACCCTGTCTCAGAACAAAAGGTTAGGAAAGGCCAGTTACAAAGCTTGGTGGTACAGCACTTGCCATTCTTGTACAAGGTCCTGGGTTCAGTTTCAGCACCACATGAATACAGAAACACTTCTTATGCAGAGTTTGGTGGCTTATTACTTTCTGAAGACATAAATGGGATTACTTTTGAAGATATCTTGTTAGACCTGTTTGTCGTTCTGGAACATATAGCAGCTATAGAATTATCTAAAGAAAATGTATCCTTTTTCTTTTTATGCATATTATTTGGATGTATGTGAGCCTTAGTTCTACCCTTTCTTTACAACTCAAATTTAATAGCATAAAATTCTAACTCAGCCTCCACATTTAAGAATTGTATTTTGTCTGTTTGGTAGTTTTTCCTTATTTGTTTTTGTGTCTTTAGTTAAGCCCTTCTGAACTTGTAAATGAAAAAAATAAACCTATTAATTATCTTTTCCTGAAACATTAAATATTACCTCTTCCTGAACACTTTATCTTAGTCACATTCTGTTGATTAGGTTTTACATAGAATCTAACACTATCTGTAGACTGAAAATTAATTATTAAGAGTGTTACGTAAGTTTACACTAAGTTATTTACATTGGCTTATTGTAAGAGTATTCAGTGTTTATCCAACATGTACACAGTAAATAAAAATCTCCAACATTTGTTTCCCAAATAAGATTATTATATTTTAGATAGATAATGCAAATATAATAATATGTCCTTGGAATGCTTCCAGGAACAATAAAATCAGTTGACACAATAAGTTTTGCAGGACTTGGAAATATGAAGAAATAAAATGACAAATGTCTTAGTTTCTTCTTATGTTGCTGGGATGAAATACTCCCAGGTGATTCTGGATCCTGTCAGGTTGACAGGTAACACTCACAGCTCTATCCCCTGTCAGTGAGACACCCAAACAGCACCTTTAAGCCATACCCTCCATTCCTTGTCCACACAGTCTCATGACCATGTTTAAACATAAAATGTATACAGTCCAACTTTAAAGTCCCCATAGTTTTCAACAATTCCAATACTTTAAAATTCTAGTCTCTTAGCTGTAGGTTTGTATAAAATAAAAGAAGTTATATTCTTCCATCAGACAGAGGCACAAAGTAAGCGTTTCTGTTCCTAAAGGGAGGAACGATCAGGCCAAGATTTTACCAGACAAAATTAATCCACAGAGACCAAGGGCTAAAGCTGGTAGATGGAAAAGATGACGAGCCCAAGGCTACTCGCTTCTCCAGTTCTGATCAGGCGTGTGTCTGCTTCCCTCCTGAGAAGACCAGAGGCCCCATCTAACAGCTTACCTGCAGCAGCTCCCCTCTCCAAATGGCCAGATGGGAATTCCAGACCAGAGTTGTATCCCAAAACACTGATATAGCGGCCAGGTTTATTAGTACTGGGGCCACCACCACAGTTGGTGTGAGGAGGGCAGGGACCTGCACTGAAATAGTATTTGGCAGGATTTGGCACTTTATATTGGCTATGCCAGGAACCCATCTATGGAGCAGCAACTTTTCTATACCATCTGGGGTTTGCCGTGCCAGGAGCTGTGGGGCTCTTCTGTTGGATGGTCGCCCTCCTCATCCTCTTTACCATGTGCGATTCCACGGAGTCACCCAGCTGTCCCTGCTGCTTCAACTCTGCTAGTCCTGGTGCTGAAATGAACTAGTGTAGCCAATGGAGCAATCAACATGGGGGTTCTTAAAAAATTTGAAAAAAGAACTATGACCCAGCTGTACCACTCTTGGGTTTTAGCTGAAGGACTTTAAGTCAGTATACCATAGAAGTACTTGTATTTCAGGTCTTTCTGTTGCCATTTGTTTTGCCAACAGTTTGTTTTTATTAAACTAAAAGAACAAGTGTGTGTGCATGTGTGTGTATAGTCTATGCAGATACCGTCACAGTCCAGAAGAGGGTTTTGGATCTCCTGAAGCTGAAGTTACAGTCAGGTTTGAGCCTCCTGACATAGGTGCTCAGATCTGAGCTTATGCCACCTCTCAAGCGTCACACATTTGTTGACAGAGTTTTCCTGTCCTGCCTGATCCCATCCCAAAGAAACACACAGAGGTCTACATTAATCATAAACTGGTTGGCCTATTAGCTCAGGCTTCTTATTAACACTTACAACTTATTGTTATAAGTTGCCCAAAAATCTTGTCTGAGTTAGCCGCGTAGCTTGGTACCTCTTTTGGTGAGGAATTCTCATCTTGCTTCCTCTGTGTCTGGGTGGTTCTGTGTCGACTGCAGACTCACTCTCTTCCCAGAATTCTCCTGTTCTCCTTGCCTCGCCTATACTTCCTGCCTGGTTCCTGGTCAGTCAGCATTTTATTAAACAAGTACAAGAAACAAATCTTTACAGGGTAAAACCATTGTCCCACAGCACACATTCATGTTTATTGTTGCACTAACAAGTAGAATCATCCTAGATGCTCATTACCTGTCAAAAAGATAAAGTGTGGTACATATTCAGACATAAATAAAAAGAAAACTATGACATTTTCAGAAAATGGATACAACTAGAGATCATTAAAGTGAAATAAACCAGACTCAAATACTGCATGTTTCTCTCATATACAAACCCTGGGTTTGAATTTTCGTGTGTGTGTGTGTGTGTGTGTGTGTGTGTGTGTGTGTGTGTTCATAATATAGAGGACTATAAGGGAAAGAAGAGATCTTAGAGATGGAGGAGCAATTAGATAGATAGATAGATAGATAGATAGATAGATAGATAGATAGATAGATAGATA